TTACAGGACCAGCGTCTCCACCAGTGCCCCTGCCGAGGAAGAAGAAGCCGGAGCCCAGGCCGCGCTCAGTGCTGAGCACCATCCTGAAAGCAGCGCCTCTGGCGCCTGTGCCGCGGCCGCGCAGCAAGCTGTTTGAGGTCCGTTATCCAGTGAAATATTACACATGCATTTATGAGATTACCTCCTCAACGTAGCAACTTAAAATTGTTTATGTGCCAAGTCGCATATCTAGTCTGTATTAGAGCTCAAACATGTTTCAAAACCTTTAACCTTTCATCATCAACATTCATTCATTCATTCATATAAAACATAGTGTTCTTTTAAATAGTAAATACTCACATTTATATTAATAATAATAAATATATTCATACAAATAATAAATAAAATAATATAATAATAATGATGATGATGATGGTGATATTTAAAAATATTATATTATTATTATTATTAATAATAATAATAATAATGTTATAATATTTTATTCATACAAAACATTTTTTGTATGTTCACGATTTATTATTATTAGTGTTATTATAAATAGTTAATTGTCACATTTATATTAATAATAATAAATAAAAAATTACATTCATACAAATAGTAAATAAAATATATAATAATGATGATATATTGAAAATATTATATTATTAGTATTAATTTTATAATATTTTATTCAAACAAAACTTTTTTGTAAGTTTACCTATTATTATTAGTTTTATTATGAATAGTCACATTTATATTAATAATAAATAAATAGATTTATACAAGTAATAAAATAATAATACCATTAGTAATATTATTATTATTATTGGTTTATTTATTTATGATGCTTCAGGCCACAGATGAAGAGCGAATGAAAGAGAAACAGCTGAAGAAGACCAACACCATCCGCTGGTTCAAAGAGATGCAGGTGCGTAAGCTGACCAGAGACGGCGGCTTCCCCAGCTGGTTCCACGGCATGATCACACGCAGGTGCGCTTCATCACACACTCACTCCTGAACATACAGGGTTTATAATGTGCTGACTGTAACCTTGGCTTCTCAGACGAGCAGAAGATCTCCTGATCGACAAACCTCTCGGCTGCTTCTTGGTGCGAGTGGGTCAGAGCCGGGAAGGTTTCACACTGACCTACAGGTACGTTGTGCCGAAACATGTCAAAATCAGGAGAAAAATCACAATAAAAGCACCAACAGTAGTATGACATGTGCTGCATATTTCAAGTTTAAATAGTTGCAATTGAAATTTAAGAGGTTATTCACTAAAAATGACTTCTATAGTGCATGAGACACATGGGCTAAAATGAGACTAAATCAACATCAGTAGAAATAAGCTCATTATGAAAACCTAGTTTATATGTGACCCTGGAGCACAAAAGCAGTCTTAAGTCGCTGGGGTATATTTGTAGCAATAGCCAAAAATACATTGTATGGGTCAAAATTATAGATTTTTCTTATAGGATATTAAGTAAAGATCATGTTCCATGAAGATATTTTGTAAATTTCCTACCGTAAATATATCAAAACTTAATTTTTGATTAGTAATATGCATTGCTAAGAACTTAATTTGGACAACTTTAAAGGCAATCTCAATTTCAGATAATTGACCCTTGTGACTGGTTTTGTGGTCCAGGGTCACATATATGCAAACCAGTAATGCAATAGAAACTCTTTTACGGGAGAAGGTGAAAACTGTGTTGACAGACTGTTTGTGTGACTATGTTGATCGGGTTTTCCTTTAAACAGTTTTATTTTGTCATAAAAAGACTGTGCATGTTTAAGGAGTTTACATAAACGTACATGGTGTAAAAGTACATAATTCAATTTCAGCAACAGAATATGATGGTTTTTATTTTCCAATTTTTTGTACATATTTTTTAGATTATTATTATTAATAATAGTAATAATAGTAATAAAATCACAATAAATAGTAAAAATATTTTTTTTTTACATAATTTATTATTGTTATTATTATTACTAATTTAAATAGCATTTGTATTTTGCTAGTTATTATTAACAATATATTTTATTTATATTTTATTTTATTATTTTTAATGGTGTTAAAAATAGTAACATTTGTTTTTATATCTTTTTATATACATAAAATGATGATAATGATAAATGATATAAATAATCATAAATACATATGAATAATATAAATAAAATGTATATATTTATATTATTAATAATTATTGTCATTATGAATAATAATAATAATTAGCAAATACTAAGATATTTTATGAATATTTAATTGTAATATTCTTATTATTAGTATTGTTATCAGTAATAACATTAATTTTATATAAATAAAATAATGTGATGATAATATAATGTAAAAATATTTTAAATAATATTATTTCTATTAATAATAATAATAATAAATACATATGAATACATTTAAATAACTAATATATGCTTATGTTATAAATAATAATTATTATTGTCTTATTTATTATTAGTATTGTTATCAGTAATAACATTAATTTTATATAAATAAAATAATAGTGATTATAATATAATGTAAAAATATTTTAAATAATATTATTTCTATTCATAATAATAATAATAAATACATATGAATACATTTAAATAACTATTATATGCTTATGTTATAAATAATAATTATTATTTTCATTATTATTAATAATAATAATAATAGTAATATGCTCAAACTAAAATCCACAATTATAATTAGTATTTTTGTTGTTTAATTATTATAATTCTTGTTCAGTAATTTGTTTAATTATGTTGTTGATGTTGAATGAATTGTATTTATTTATTTATTTTTTATGTATATATGTATTTTTGTTTACTGATTGATTGTAAACACGTCTGCTGGGGTTGGTTTGTGCTCTATGTCAGGGGTGCTGATCGCTGTCGTCACTATATGGTGGAGATGCAGAGCAATGGGAAGTATGTGATTCTCGGGGAGGATCGGGCTCATTCCTCTCTCACAGATCTGGTCCAGTATCACACTCAGGTGGGCATCAAGCCCTTCATGGAGCTGCTGACGCTGCCCTGCGGTCAGGTGAGTGTCCTGCACTCCACTCACAGCTGTGTGTTCAGTGTAGAGAGAGAGTAACGCTGGTTTGTGTGTGTGTGTGCAGATGTGTGATCAGGAGCCGGACTATGAGGAGCTCAAAGCTTTTACATCATCATCATCACCTTCATCGCCGTTGTCGGCATCTGCGGTGGAGCGTCCCGCTGAGGATCAGGACATGGACACGGGTTCACATAAAGTGCACTTAGAGATGCATTTATTTTGTCATAAAAAGACTGTGCATGTTTAAGGAGTTTACATAAACGTACATGGTGTAAAAGTACATAATTCAATTTCAGCAACAGAATATGATGGTTTTTATTTTCCAATTTTTTGTACATATTTTTTAGATTATTATTATTAATAATAGTAATAATAGTAATAAAATCACAATAAATAGTAAAAATATTTTTTTTTTACATAATTTATTATTGTTATTATTATTACTAATTTAAATAGCATTTGTATTTTGCTAGTTATTATTAACAATATATTTTATTTATATTTTATTTTATTATTTTTAATGGTGTTAAAAATAGTAACATTTGTTTTTATATCTTTTTATATACATAAAATGATGATAATGATAAATGATATAAATAATCATAAATACATATGAATAATATAAATAAAATGTATATATTTATATTATTAATAATTATTGTCATTATGAATAATAATAATAATTAGCAAATACTAAGATATTTTATGAATATTTAATTGTAATATTCTTATTATTAGTATTGTTATCAGTAATAACATTAATTTTATATAAATAAAATAATGTGATGATAATATAATGTAAAAATATTTTAAATAATATTATTTCTATTAATAATAATAATAATAAATACATATGAATACATTTAAATAACTAATATATGCTTATGTTATAAATAATAATTATTATTGTCTTATTTATTATTAGTATTGTTATCAGTAATAACATTAATTTTATATAAATAAAATAATAATGTGATTATAATATAATGTAAA